TTTTTTTATCGGTTATACATATTTATTTTTAATTTGAAAAAAAAAGGTTTGACCAGTTGAGTATTAAATCAGCACTAATTAATTTATTAAGCAAGTAAAGACGCAAAGCAAGACAATTTAATTATCCAACAATTTAGGGTAATATATAGTTATTTCTTTTATTAAACATGATTTTTAAAAATAAAACAACATCAGCCCCAAATAATAGGCAACATTCATGGTTTTGTTGAAAACCAAAATAACAAAATCCTTAATTAATGGGTAGCATTTAATGCTACTTTTTTTATTAAAAAAAAAAAAAAAAAAAAAAGTTACTAAGAATGGAATGTAATTAATGTAAAATGATTTTGACCAAAATTTGACCTACTATTTTTGAAAATTGGTAAATCTTTTTATATATATATAGATGTGCTGAGCTGGCAGGCTCGCATGTTTTGAAATCCTATATGTCAAAATTTCATGTTTTGTTTTGGCTTGGACAGATTTTAATTTAATTCCAATCCAAAACTAATTAGGTTCGGATTACCATAAAGATGTTGATTTATTTATTATCATTTTAGATGTATTAATTGTATTTTAATATCATTTCTTATTATAACTGTTGAATTGTAATTGTATTTTTTTTTTGTACAATAAAGGAGGCCGAAGCCTAATGATCACGAAAGAAGTACTCGGCGTGGGCGAGCCACACCTACGATATCATAGCTCAACCAATGGCCCAAATCCTGCGGCGGGCCATTAAGACGATGGAAACCAATCGGAACGTCAGCAGCAAGCGTTTCTTATCCGTTTTACATATATAATGTATCAAATTAATTATCTTTTGATGAGCTTCGATTTGACATCCATATTGTATATATAAAATAAATAAATTATATTTATATTTACAATTGTTGGTGGTATAGACCGAACGACTGGAGCCCGTCCCTCAATGGAGTGAATGAACCGACTAGGAGCAAGTTGGCTTGGATGCGAAACGAGCGCAAGTTCAAGTGGGAGATTTGTACTCATCATTACCCAAATCAGCCGTACCAAGCACATTAAATGCACAAAAATCTTGAAATCGCCCATCTGACGATGCAGGAAAGGTTGAGACACATGGCACGATCCGGACGAGCCATTAATATTGGGATTAGATTGTGCAGTACATTAGCATTTAATATGAAATGACTAATATCTAAAGAATATCTTGTAAAAAAAATTTATAGGAGATAGAAATCCCAAAAAGGGAGTGTAATAAGTCTTAAAACTTCCTATAAAAGGAGGGAGAAGGCTACATTAAATGCAATGAGTAAATACTCTCATTAATTACTATATAAGTCACGAACAGAACTCCTATTCGGTCCACTCTTAGAATCGAACACCACACATATCTCTATTTGTGTAGACCGAACCGAGCATAATCCAAGTGTGCAGTTCGAACACATTGTTGGTCATTTTTAGACATCAACAACAATAATAAAAAATTAAAATTAATTAAAAAAATATAATTATTTCTCAATTAATATATTCATGTTTAATGTAGTTATATGTCATAAGTTAGAAAAATTATTATAATATAACACATGTAAGTCGCACAAATAGCAAGTGTCATACTGAAATATATATATAATATATATATATAGTATTTAAATTTTCAACTCCTTTTTCTCAATTTTTTTAAATTTTAAGAAAAAAAAAATTAACAAGCACTCGTGTAATACACGGGCGTTATACTAGTTTTAAAATATTAGGTAATACTTCAAATAATAAGGTATATATATATTAAAAAATATTATTTAAGTATTTAGATAATTTATTATAGCATATGACTAAACTAATTGAGCTATGTTTGGTAAAACTAGTTGGTAAGATTTATCAGTAATTTTTAAGCTTAGAGCTGAAAGAGCTAGCTTATACGATAAAAGTGTTTGGTAAAATTAGCTGATAAGCCAGCTGAAATAAAAATTTCAACGGACTTATTGAAAAGCTACATAAACGAAGTTTATTTAAATACAAGAAGATTCTAAGCTAATCATATAAGCTATAAGCTAACTTATTAGTTTATCAAACATAGCCTTGATATAATAATTTGTGCATATCGAGAAAAGTTAAATATGTACTTCTTAATTTAAAATATATTTTACATATATTAAATAAAATTTATAAAAAAAAAATAAAAAAGATTGAATCAATTAGACCATTTAATTTTTTTTTTTACCAATATTTTCGACTACCTCAATCGGTCACAGTCACAGACCAATTTTTTAGCAGCCGAATTTTTTTTTTTCAGAGCACTTGATCGGTGAGGTGATTAATTCCTGATCCAAACTTCTTGGTTTAGTTTTCAGAACCATGCATGAGATACATACTAAAAGGCACGAAAGAGTATTTTCTCAAACACCCAATCGCATAATTATTTTTGGCGAATTTCTATCTCATTGTTAAATGCCCGGCCATGGCTCAGAGGAAGTGATTTCTTTTTTTTTTTTTCGGTAGCCAGTCACGGTATCCGCAGCATTGTCCTGACTAGTGCTGTTAAATTAAACGAGCCTGGCTCGACTCGGCTCGAGCTCGGCTCGTTAAGGCTCAGTTCGGCTCGAGTTCGAAGCCTTAACGAGCCGAGCTCGAGCTCATTTAAAGCTCGTTTGGTTAACGAGCCGAGCTCGGCTCGGCTCGATAAGGCTCGTTAAGGCTCGAAAAGTGAAATTTATGTAATTTTTTATAGTTCGGCTCGTTAAAGCTCGAGATCGGCTCGTTAAGGCTCGAGCTCGAGGCTTTAACGAGCCGAGCTCGAGCTTGATTTTTGGCTCGTTTACTTAACGAGCCGAGCTCGGCTCGGCTCGTTAAGAGTTCGAGCTCAAGCTCAAACACCTTAAGCTCGAGCTCGGCTCGGCTCGTTTACAGCCCTAGTCCTGACTGGTCGACCCGAGTTGCACATCTGGTAATGGTGGATTCGAACTCGAGATCTTGCTTAAGTAAACATCAAACTGGTTACCACTTGAACCAACCCGTGTTCGTGAGGTGATTTCTCTTTGTTTAATGATACAATTGTAGATAGACCTTACTTTTCGGGCAAACAATGTGAAAGTTTTAAAAAGGGAGAGAGAAAAGTTGGTACCCAGCCACGAGGCTTTGTTTCATGATCATCCATTATCTTATCATACCTTGGGGAGCCCATTGCCAGATAACTCTTTTATTGGTATAGTGCAATTTCCCACATAAAGTTGCAAATAACAAAGCAATACATTCCATTGAGCCCGATTTCCACTTAAAGTATACCATTTTAATAAAATATTATATGAGTGTTTGATGAAGTGATCATACAACTAACTAATAGAAGTATTACGGACATTATTCTATTCGATGATTTTTTTTTTATTTTTTTTTATTTTTTTGTGTTCCATTTCATTGAATTTAGACATTTTTATATTATGTGTAATATATTAACATATCAATAATTTTATATCAATCACCCATAGTTTTTTAATTCAGACCGACCCGACGGGTTGACTCGGAACCGAAACCGGTCCGAGTAGGCTATTTGGACTAGGCAACAAAAGACCCAGTCAAACCTGACCAACCCGGTCTCAACCCGGGGCATTGACCCGGCCCATATATATATATATATATATATATTGTTTTTAAAAATAAAACTATGTATGTTTATATAGTAAATATTTATCATGACATACATATTATTAGCACTTTAATGTACAAATTTTATACACAAAACATAATTTTGTTACTTTTATGTATATTTATATGACAAAATATTCCATATATAATTTAAAGTTTTAAATTAATTATTCGGTTCGCAATTGACTCTGTGACCGACGGTTGAACCGATAACCCGGTGACCCAGAGACCTACTCGGTTTAAAAACTATGACAATCACATAAAATAGAAGGCTGAAGCCTAAAATTGTAAATGTCAAGAATTTATTTCTGAACAGGCTTGTCAACAGTTTGAGAGATAATCACAAGAGTAAAAGTAAATGTCCTGTAGACATATAGTGAAGAAAAAAAATGTAACTTTTTTTCTGAACTGTGAACTTTATTAGAATGATTATTGAAATTTAAGTTTCAGCCAAACATTGACCAAACTTCTTATTCGATCTGGCTGGGGATTCAGCTTGAAAATTAACACTCGAAGCTTTCTGGCATTCAGAATGGAACGAAATTACATATTATCAATGATACAATAATAAAAATAAAGCAAAAGAAAATGCAACACTGCAAAAACTAAGGTTATGTTCCGTAAAACTAACTGATAAACTATATGTTATTTTTTGAGCTTATAACTTATAGCTGAAAAGCTAACCTATATTATGAAAGTGTTTGATAAAATTAGCTGATAAACTAGCTAAAATAAAAATTTCAACTAGCTTATTTAAAAAGCTACTTAGAGAAGCTTATGAGATAAGCTCGAGCTTTTAATAAAGCTTGTCCTAACAAACGAGACTTATGACTCATAAGCTAACCAAATAAGCTATAAAGTAGCTTATTTAGATACCAAACATATGGTAAACCTAAGGCATTCAGCCACAAAGCCGTAAGAAATATCTCAATTATAACCAAACCCAGAGCGTAGTCATCAGGTTACAAAGTTACAAAGATACTGCAAAATTTGAAATCTCAACCACAAATTTGAACCCTCAAATCTGTAAAAATTGATGTTTTACAACTACAAAGAACAGAACATTTACAAAGACATAATCATTCGTAGGAAACAATATGCTTGAAAATAAATCTACAATCGAACACTTGCAGGCGGAAGATGGAAAAATCAACACCAAAGAAAAATACAGGAACTCATACCCACTGCAATACCAACAAAATATTTTGAAGGCCAAAATTTCCCCTGTTTCTTAACAACTTAAAAGACTGATGGAGAACTATCCAAGTAGGCACATTATAACTCAAGTTAAAAATACCTAAACAAGGAAATCACCAATTTCTGCTCAATTAGTTTTCAAAAGATTGGGCTAATACCCAAGTTCTTTCAGCAAGTAGCTCTCTTCACCTCTTGTCCCCACTAACACTACTCTTAACCTCATAAACGCACCCAACTTTGTCCAAATAAGGTCCAACAAACTTGTCATAGAACTTCCTATCCGACAGCCTACACAGAGTCGCGAAATTAGGCCAGCTTTCGATCAAATTCTCTCTCTCTAGAACCCCCAAAACCTTAAACCTAGGCTTATACCTATTCTCGACGCTGTACATAAATGCTATTGGATTTTTAAGGATGCACGAAAGCTCGTACTTGCCGGTCGCAAGAACAACCTCCCTCACCTCATTTATTTTCTCCCCAGAAACCCCAAACACCAGAGGCGCTTGTCTAAACGCCGCTAATATCTCTTCATCTGAAAAACCCATGTCCCGGAAAATTCTCAGCTTTTGTTCCCAAGTTGAGTCGTTCATGGAGCTCATAACCCTCACAGCGTGTATAAATATTCTGGAATTCGTACTAACTCCCATCTCGTTCACTTTATCCACTAATTTCTTCATGTGCTCGGGATTACAAAAAACGAACCTGCGGAAATAACGCGCAAACCAAATGATCTGCTCCATGCCCACACCACAGCTTTTCAAGATCTTGACATTGGGCTCTAGATAGTTCACGTTCGACCGGAAGATCCACGGGTCGTGAGAGAAGATGTTGGCTATGTCATCCAAGGAGAAGTCCAGGTCTTGCAAAATCTTGATTTTGGGCTTGATTGTCTTCTCGAGATCCGCGGAAAGCAATACGGGCATCGATGTCACGATTTTTTCCACTAGGGTTTTGGAAAAGCCCAATTCCTTAAGGAATGAGAGGATTGAATCGGACTTTTCGGGGTCTCTCAGGCGAGTCAGGGAAGAGGCTACTCGCGAAGCCGCTTCGGGAGAGAAATGGTGTTTGTGCAGCAAATAGTCGGAAACCGTAGAGTTGGATACAGTAGATAAATGAACAAGAGGTGAAAAACGGAGATAACAAGGAAACGATGAATCCTTCAAACCGTACAAGTGGGTAAGATTCTTACAGCGCAAAACCTTACTAATGATCATTATATTATATTTTGAACAAAGAACGGCGGAGGAAATGAATAAACCTGGGTAATCGCTGATGAAAGACGAAGCTGAAAATCAATCTCCGCAAAAATAAATGTTTCTCGCGCAATTGGGGTTCCAATTTTCAGAATCGGGAGTAAAAAACGGTTCGGGATGTAGGGCTGGTTTGTAACGTAGGATTTTAATGGAGGACCACCTGAATTTATCTCTCTGAGTAATGAGGAGCCGGCGGCTGTCGTGACCGGAGTTTCAGAGGCATAAGGAGCAGACGATCGATTTAGGGCAAATGACGAGACTACTACGTACCGGAGCACCAGAACCCTAAACCTAATTATATTTTTTGTTTCGAATTAAATTAAAATTTATCCAAGCCTAATAACGAAACATGTAATTTTGTCACATAGGATTCCGAAGCACCAGAAGCAGCCACGTAGGCTCAGCGCGTTCTGGATTAATATATAGGGGGATAATCTATTCTTCACTTATTTTATAAAAACAATAGACTAATAATATATTTTCTATCTCTTTTAATCATTGTTGTTTTATATTTATTACTTGTTAAAAAAGAAAATAACAGTTTTACTTATTCTTTTTACAATATAATGCTTAATAATTATTTTATTATAAACTTTGTTGTCATATAACTAGTGAGAATTCCGTGCGATGCACGTAGGTTTCGTAATGTAAAATATTTTTGCAAAACTTTATTTAAACAATATATTAGCCCGTTGATCTGTCTATATTAATATAAATAGCAATTTAACATATATATTTATTTTTTAATACAAAAAAATAATAATTTTACATATTTTAGTTCATCATAATATACAAATATTATTTTATTCAAAAATTATTGTCGTATAATGTCAATATGATTTATAACATTTATAGAATTAATACTTCTTTTTTATATAATGATAAATATTTAATGCAAATTAATATTATTTATTTATGTGATTAATTTAATAATATATAAGTAAATCTAATTTTGTTAGAAATGTGATGATCTCGATATTTTTAGGTACAAATATATGATATATACAAAAGAAATTTTTATGTGATTTATTATCTTAAATAATTAGCCGTAATTACCTAAATTGTATCTTTAAAACATACCATAAAATGTGTAACTAATTTCCAAAATTAGTAATCAACATTTTTTTGACGAAAAATAATTACTATTTAAAAAATAATCAAACTTATATATATATATATATATATATATATATATGTCATTATTATTTATAAAAGTTATATAAATTGTACGTCTTCTTTTTCTTTTATTTTATTTAATGAAAAATATTTAATGCACGTTAGTACTATTTGTTTATGTTATCAATTTAAAATATGTAAATAAATTTAAAATTAAATAATGTATGAATATTTCACAAAATATGCACACATTTTTTTTTAATTTAATTTTGTATACTTATTAAACAACTTTAGTTAGAAAATGCCAAAAACTCAATCCGTTCTATAATCAAATTTTTTCTAATATGCATTATAAGGATTTATAGTTTATTTAACATACTCTACAGTAAAAATGTATTTACAATAACTTCATTATAGAAAGAAAAAAAATATGATAAAAAATTAATCATGGTTGTCAATAATATATAAAAAAAATTCTTAAAAATAGTTGATATATTTCAATTTTAATTTTTGTACTATTAGTTAAACAATTTAATGTCTCTAGTCATTATCTCTAAATGGTAAATTATATTAATTTGAAGAATAATTTATTTTTTTTATATAAAAAATTAAAGATTAATAGAAAATTATATTGACAAAGATTAATTCACCAACTTGATTTTGCCTGATTAATTGTAGTAAAAATTTTACCTAACATGTTACGATTTTCTATAAATATTTTTGGATAAAAAGGTGAATATTTATGAAAAAAATAATATTATGGTGAGAACTTAAAATATATTGTAATATTTATCTTGAACAAAATATTATTAACATGAATTACGGAAAAATAATTTTGTAATTTATTACAACTGATATCAATCAAATTATTGCAGATACTAATAAAATTATCTATGAAAATATATTTTTGATCATATCTGATTTGATCTTAGTTGAAAACGTATATATAGAAACAATTAATGCATAAATTTAAAAAGTTCCTGAAACTTGTACCAAAAAAAAAAGTTCCTGAAAAAAGTATGCATTAAATATTCCTAAAAATTTTTACTACTATTTATAATAAATGGTTATTCTTATTATACACTGCTGCTATATTTATTTTCTTAAATTTAATGTCCCTTTTATTTTTATTTTAATTATTTTTCAAAAGTAAGATCTCAATTTTGTATATTTTAAAGAAAGTTTAACATATACATTGTAGGATGAGTAAATTTTTCCATTAATTAACACTAATTAGATGTGTCCAAGGGCCAACCTGGCCTGTAACCGACCCGAAAATACGGGTCTTGGAACCAGACCCGTGATAAAATTGGGCCGGTTTTGGGTCTCAATTTTATTATTTGACCCGCCGGTTTTGGGTAAAAAATCGGGTCGTGATTGTTTTTATTTATTTATTTTTATTAAGAAAACTGCAGTGGCAGGTCTATTTGAACTGACCCAAAAATATAGTCGAGCAGGTTCCAGGGCCAGTGTTTGAGGCCACCGACCCAGCGGGCCGGGCCGAGTTGTGAACCGGTCCGGCTGTTGGACTTCTCTAACACTAGTTAAGATGTGCTTCTCTTCTTCATGCCCGTTCTTCATTAACCCCATCTCCATCTCTACTCATTTGCCTCTGAAACTCCTGTCACGACAGCCGCCGGCTCCTCATTACTCAAGGATATAAATTCAGGTGGTCCTCCGTTAAAATCCTACGTTACAAATATTAGAATAGAGTGTAAATATTGTGAAAGGCCCCACTAACATGGTGAAGATTCCTGCACTAACATGATGAAAGTTCATGTTGCTCGTGGCCAGTTTACACCATTTTTTTCTAATGCTAATCAACATGTGCCAAATGATTAATTTACAGCTATTGGCATCTTGACAACTTGCTCAAACTCTCCCTATAAAAGGGCCTCGGCCAGATTGAAGAAGTCATACCAAATAGTGAAAGAAAAAAGAGGAGAAAGGAAAAGAAAGGAAAGAAAAGAAAAATTTATGTCCAAATATCGGATATATAATATCAAAAGTGAAAAAACAAGTGATATTTTTATTTGTTTTAAGATATTCCTTGTATTTCTAAGTGCTCAATTCTCGACTCCGTTCCCGTTCGCCGGAGCTCGTAAATCTGGTGTGCTACAGATTTAGAGACGTTTGTCGTTGTATCTCTGGGGAAGTTACGCCTGAACAGTTAGCTGCCACACGGGGCGTATTCTTCTAGCGGAAAGAGTTTTACTCGCCTCGGCTAAAAATCTTTACGTTTTTCAGTTGTATTTTATTTTTCAGTTCAATTGTAATTTTCTATTTTTAGATTA